CCCCCCCCCCCCCCTCTCCTGACGTTGTCAGGCTCTCGGTTCATGACCGAGTGCCTGACTTTTAAGAGGGGGTGATAACAAAATGTCTGTCAGTCATTTTGATGTCACCACTTCTGATAGTGTCACCCAGTGCGGACCGCACCCCTCTTGTGACAGCACTGGCTAGGAGGGCCCTGCTCCCGAGTGCTTACAATGTAAAATGAATCTACTAGTTGAAGACTGAGGGCGAAAACTCTACTTCCTATGGGAAACCTAGACAAACACGGGACAAATATATGAACTCTATGTAGACAATGTAGTTTTTGAGAAATTAACTAAGGGCACCCTTTGCTGCAAGCTAAGAGTGCTAACCACATGACCACCTGAAAATGATCACAGAACTTGTGCTTTAATTGAAAAGATATATCTGATGACAGGTCCACTCCAGCTGAAGCATGGATCATTCCACTTTCTGCTGTGGTGAAATCTAAATCTATGTCGCTACTCGAACCTTTGATATTCCTCACTCTGTTAATATATCTTCCTGTAGGTGGCTTCTACTTCCCACAAAAGGTTCTTGTCGGAAGCAGCTCCAGCTTTTCAGTTTTTTGTACGTTCTGCCACAATGACAAGAAAGTTGAGTCGAGGGTTATCACCTGGGGCCTGGACCTGGCAGAGGAGATCCCCTCACACCAATATACGGCTGTCAGTGATTATGTCGGAAAAGTCACATTAAAAAACCCTACCCCAACAAAACCGAAAGGGAAGTTCCAGTATGGTGCCTTGTACTGCTGCGTAAATGGTATTGGGTGCCAGCCTCGCTATTCTGAGATCTATGTCGTAGGTGAGCTTCTGTGTTCACAATGATCCACAATCACTTATATTGTATGATTTTAATTTTCTCTCCACTGAATTCTTGGGGCTGTACACCGGCTATTGCCATTATATGGAGCTCCCACCATCCCTATGCTACGTTCCCAGGTCTGTACACCTGCTGTGCCCATTATGAGGGGCTCCCACCATCCCTTTGCTTTTGCTGTGTCCCACCATCCCTTTGCTGTGTTCCCAGGTCTGTACACCTGCTGTGCCACATTATGAGGTGTTCCCACCATCCCTTAGTTCCAAGGTCCGTTCAACTACTGTGCCTATTATGAGGGGCTCCCACCACCCCAGCACTAAGTTCCTGGGTCTACATACCTACTTGGCCCATTATGAGGGGCTGCTCTCACCATCCCTGCCCTGAGTTCCCAGGTCTGCATACCTACAGTGCCCATTATGAGGGCCTCTTTCCATCCCTACACTCAGTTCCTGGGTTTGTACACCTGTTGTGCCCATTATCAGGGACTCCCACCGTACGTCCTGGATTTTAAGTTGTTTTATATTATGGAGAATGTAAACGGAGGAGCTGCATCACTCAAAGGTGGGCAGGAACACACAAAACTCCCAGGTGGACAGAAACAGAGCTTGGAAATATAGGAAGGAGAGCTGTTGGAGTACCCAAGACATATACAATAAGAAGCCCGGACCTGATTCAGCCCATTAGGCTTCACCTATAGGTAAAATATTGATTTTGGGGAGACTAACCCTTTATTTAAGTAAAGTCGGTGTTGAGTTCCTACCCCCAGTTACTATGTGGCTGCTCTTTGGCATCCTTAACTAAATAAGACGTCTTCCTCTACTTCTTTTACCAGACTAATATACTTTTTTAAAAATTCTTTGACAGATGTTAATATAAGCATAACTTGCGAAACTGATGGAAAGTTCACAGCTATGACTTGTAGGTGGAGCTCCAAGCACATTGAATCTCTAAAGGACAGCGTCTGGACATTCCGATCCTATCAGTGAGTGGACAATGGGGAAAAAACATTGATTGTGCACTGGTGGGGGGTTGAGTGTAGGGTGATTAAAATTTGATCCAAAGTACTTAAAGCCAGACCCCTGTCTGACCTCTGCAGAGGGACCACTGCTTCCACACAGAGAGCAAGGGTCCCACTCTGCAGCATGCTGGCAGGGGACAGGCTTTTTATATTCAAGCTGTGGCTGCTTTCTAAAGGAAACAAATAATAAGACTTGCTTTAAACTGAAAATGTAATTGAGGTTTAACCAGGGCTGTCCCTAAGGTATTCGACACTTGAGACAATGTCGTCTGGGGTGGGGGTTTGCTGGCAGGGAATGGTCACTGGGGGGGACAGTTGTTGTGCTGATTTATTGTTCACCGGGGGGGGGATCAGTCCGGAGTTTGGCTCAGGTGACTAGTTGCCTTGGCAGGATGTAGCCAGAGCATCCCACTCAGCTCTTGGCTACTGGTGACTTCTGTGCGGCTAGTGAAGCGAAGAGCTCTTAGTAACCTTGGACGCTGTGGCCTATTAAATCGTGCTGTGTACGTGTAGTTCAGGTTTACCAACAATTAATGATATTCTTTGGCTTTTTTTTTTTTTTTTTTAGGGACATGAGTTACTGCATCCAGACGGGCATAAGATATGGTGACTCCTCTGAGGAAAGCTGCACGTTGCAGGAGGACGGATTCTACAAATGTGTTTTTAAGACAATTAAACCTACTTTCAGTTACACCATGTGGGTGGAAATACAACACCCTCTGGGGCGGCTACGGTCTATACCTGTCTGCGTCATTCCCAGAGATGTGGGTAAGTGACGTTTTAATTTGCTTACAACTGAATCAATACTCTTTGCAGAATACTGTATATACCGTCCATGGCCAGCCATCTTGTGCCATACACCCATCAGCTTCTTGGTGATGGTGCTGCACTGCACATAAACTACCTCTAAAGGAAATATGCAGCTTTATGAGTTTTTGTTCAAGATTTATATGTGAATTTGATGAGGTTATAATAAATTGTAGCATTTTAAATGTTAAAGGGCAACTGTACGCATGAACTACAATGATCCTGCCTGCCTACCCTTTGCAAAGATAACCCCACCCATCTCCACCCCAGATGTATGTAAAATTCTTGCTTTTACCAGCATTTTTTAAGTTGGTGACAGGGTCTCCTAAAATAAAAATACAGTATACATCTACTATATATATAAATATAAATATATATATATATATATAT